TGCCACCTCTTCTGGGACGCTATCCCTGACCCATTGAGCCAAATTTGGCACTCCTGCTATTCCTTGAACATACCTCTATTACAGAATTAATCACAGTGTGTAGAAGTTATGCATCAGCCTCTGTGTTAAGAGATCCTTAAGGTTAGCATTAGTATTAGACTTAGAAATAATTGAGTAGATGAATGCATGGTTATAAATAGTTATCCCCAAATTCTTGCTTTACTGTGACATGAATGGTGACATGCACTTGGACAAGAATATTGGGAGGAGGAGATTTCTGAAGAGATAATATGGTTTTGTTTGAACATATCGATCTTGAGACCCCCAAGAAGAAATATTCATAAACTAGAACTTTAGGAAAGAAGTTCAGAAAAGAATTAGGTCTAGAGATAGAATTGGGAGTTGAAACCAGGGGATTGCATGAATTGACTAAACCTAGTTCAAGGGTACAACCCTGGTAAGCAATGTTTTGGTTGGGATGTGACAGTATGTAGCTGGACGTGGGTGGACAAAGAATAAGTGATAACTCTTTATATATCTGTGTGTGTGTGTGTGTGTGTGTGTGTGTATCCCTAAACATCCCTTTTAGTTTGTAAATTCCAGTGACAGAAAGCTGCAAAGGGACTCATTTGAAATCTCAAGTGATAAAGCAAATTGAGAGGCCCATTTACTGGAGTGTTCATAGCCGCATGTGTCCCAGGATGCATGTTCTAAGAAGACTAGGAAGTTTTCTATATTAAAGTTTTTCATCCTGGATATGGTAATATTCTCAACATTATAATTTCATCCTAACAGTTGTAATGTAGAAGATATGTTGCCCTTAATTCCAATATTCATTAGAAGATTCCACATTCTTCCCTCAAAACTGTAAAGTTGGCACAATGAATTTCCCTGCACTGACATTTCAGAGCCATTTAGTTTAAGCATCTTCTTAGGCAGTCATTTAAAGTTTGTCCATGCAGTTATTCAAGGCAGTTTAGAAAAACATTAGTCTGACTCATTGGTAGGAACCATAGATGACCAGCAACCAAAGGAAAACACAGAAAGAAAGGATCACCTACTCACTTGGTGGTTGTTTGATTTTGCTTTGGTTTTTCTGTGCTTTTTATCCCTTTACTCGTTTTGGAATCTTTTCTCCTCTCAGGCAATTATTTTAAGGCCAATACAGGAAACCCATTTAAATCATTTTCATCTTGAGACAGGATGGTTTTGAAGATTTGTATGATCTTTATTAGTCTCAAAAATGATCTCAGAAATAGTTTTACATCCTTGTTTTATTTATTTTTTTATTTTTAAAAAAAAATTTTTTGAGTTGGAGTCTCACTTCATTGCCCAGATTGGAGTGCAGTGGCACTCTCACGGCCACCCCAACGTTGACCTGCTGGACTGCAGCCATCCTTCCATCTCAGCCTTCCAAGTAGCCAAAACTACAGGCGCATGCTACCGCGCCCAGCTAATTTTTTTATTTACTGTAGAGATGAGGTCTCGCCAAGTTGCCCAGGCTGGTCTCGAGCCCGCTGGCTCAGGCAATCCACTCGTCTCGGCCTCCCAAAGTGCTGGGATTACAGGCTAAGCCACCAAGCCTGGTCTACATCCTTGTTTTAAAAACTTAGACTTCAATAAGGAACACTCCCCCCAACAACAACAACAAAAAAACCACAGAGAAGCAGCAAATTTAGTGGAGAACATTCTTAGCAGGAGTCAGAAGACTATAGGATGTTCTAGCTCTCTTGCTTAGGGCTAATACTTTGCCTTCTTGAGCCTCAGTTTCCTTATCTATCAATTGGGGATAGTAATACCAGTCCCCACATAGCATATTGGATTTTCTCATGCTTTGCTGGTGAGACTGTAAGTTGACTCAACATTTTTGGAATGTAATATGGCTGTCCATAGCAAGAACCCTAAAAATATGCATACTCTTTGACTAAGTAATTCCACTTCTGGAAAGTAATCTGAAATCTGGCAAGGATTTCTACACAAAATGTTCAGCATTTATAAGACATGATTTATAATAGTGAATATTGAAGACAACCAAAAGTTCCAAAATTATTCCACTAGTAGAATATGATTCAGTCATTAAAAACGATGTTTATGTATACAATCATATCTCTAGAACCTAGATCATTTTATAAGAAATACAGAGTTTCAAAAAATTATATGACACACAGGGATAAATCAGCAAAATTTAATTTGTAGGAAAGTATAGAATAAACAACCAGGTTTCATCAACAAGTAAATTTTCAAGGAGAATAAATCAAGGAGATAGAGGGGTAACTTACAGATTAAATAGAGATTTAAGATACATGAACCAGTCACAATGTATGGTTATTATTTGGATTCTAATTTTTTTAAAAAAGCTATTTAAAATGTTAAGACATTTATGATACATTTAGAAATTTGAACACTAGTTCTTTTTATGATATTAAGGAATTGTGATTTTCAGACATGATCATGGTATTGTGGTTATGTGTTAAAGTCTTTACTTTTTAGAGATATGAACTGAAACATTTATAAGTGAAATTATATGATGCATTGTATTTGCTTAAACAGTATGCAAAATGTGTGTGGATGGGTGGGATTGGCCATAGGTTGATAGTGATCAGAACTGTGTGATGAATGCATGGGTATTTGTTATCCTATTCTATTTTAGTTTGTGTTAAAACTTTTCAACACTATAATTTTTAAAGACTGGAACATAATGTTATGTAGGTATTTTCATGACATAGAAAGGGCCTAAAATAGTCAGTTGAATGAAATCAATATAAAGACAATCATGTGGAGAAAGAATCAAATAGAAAAGCATGAAAGAACATTTATCAAACTATACTTGTCTTTAAAAGATGAAATTGTGGCCAACTTTTTCGTTTTTCTTTACTATATAAATTCATATAATCAGAAAAAAACAATTTTCCACTATGGTTGGAACTCTTTTAGAAACCTAACTTGAAATAATATAGGCAAAAAACAATGGAAAAGTGGTTTGTGTACCTGAGAAGGTCAAGGTTTGTAGCTAGATGCCAAGGCTCTAAGTACATTAATGCACATACTATACAACAACTTTCTAGCCAACACTGAACCACATATACCACAGAGATCCCATAAGATTATAGTATCACACTTTTACTCTACTTTTTACACAAATACTTACTATTGTGATACAGTGGCCTGCAGTATTCAGTATAGTAACGGCTATATAGGTTTTGTTGTCTTGGAGCAATAGGCTATCCCATACAGCCTAGTTTTATAGAAAGCTGTATCATCTAGATTTGTGTAAGTATGACGGTCACACAATGAATTCACCTAAGGATGCTTTTCTCAGAACACATCCTCATTGTTAAACAGCACATGACTGTATGACATTAGGGTTTTGTCTCTTTCTTTCTAATCTACTTATCTCTACTTGGCTTTATTCTATAAATAGATGTTCTCCATGTAACAAGTTAGCTACCAGCAACCCCCTGCCTTATGTCCCTCAGTCTTATATACCCAGTGAAAACAGTTTTTGTACTATGATCATAAATTAATCCCACAGAAGATACTGATTGATCCTCTTTAGGTCATATACCCATTCTGGAACCAGTCATTATGGCCAAGGTGATGAATACTTTGGCTGTCCTGGAGCACATGCCCACTCCTGCATTATCAAAAGGGTACCATATTTAATAGCCCCCTCCCTCCCAACGGAACCACTTGGAATAGAAGAAAAAAATGTGCTGGACAGACAAAAACTAAAGCTTTCACATCCTGCTCCCTAATGGTGTTCTTGGGATAATTTACTGAGATGATTAAGGTGAAAACACTTTCTAAGTTGAAGAATCTGTATAAATGTAGAAGCCAGTTTTTAAAAGTTTACTTCTATTAAACCAAATTATAAATAAAATTATCAGTGTGTACATATATCAGTCTGTCAGTTTCCTTCATTATAAGAGAAGACTGGTGGCCATCCTACTCCAATTCTAAAACTGTAGAAGTGGTCTTTAGCCTAGGTAGATAACGTATCTTAATGTAAAAGGAGAAAGGAGGCATTATTTTTCACCTTCAAAGTAGTAGGCTTGGGATGGTGCTAAGCATGAATTATCCATCAGATTTCTCTTCCTTTTACAAAAAAATGTGTTGGTAAATGAATAGTGATGGGTTTGTAGTGCCAAAACCGCAATTCCTTTGTACATAGCTCTGAAAGTTGATGTGTTGATTTACAGAACTGCTATATTCGCAGCCCTACCCTTCTCATGCATGTAAATGCAGTAGCACTGAATCTGTATGAAATCTCTAAGCTAAGACTGATTTATCTACAAGGGCCTTTATATTCTTAAAGTATTAATTTCAATGATTGCTGCTTTTTGGACTAATAAAAGGGCTCCTGTTGTCGGTCCAGTTTAAAAAACAGCTCTAGAAAATTGTTCATTGGACTAAAAAGATGAAAGTAACTTCTTGAATGTTATTGTCAACCCTCAAGAGTGGTACTTTTCATAACAGAAAGCAATTAGATTCAAACTGTTTGTTATTCTCTTAATAGTAATGGATATTTTAAAAATAGAGAACCTACAGATGGCATTAGAGGTTTAAGTTGTAAAAAGAGTGTCCGAGTTGAATCATTTTCCTATATCTTCTAAATTCTGGTGAATTTAGAATTAGCATTCTGGTGAATTCGGCTCCCTAGTACTTTAAAAAATACTACTTTTTAAGGGTTTAAAGTTCATTATAAGTTATTTCACCTACTGTCAGACTCTTTACACCAGATCAGCTAATCATTTTTATTCATATTTTTTGAAAACTGTCAGAATAACCAAAAGAGAGAAGAGAGAAAAAAATTACTTACAGAAATAACTGGTTATTCAAGACTCAATCTAAGAAAATTATTACAGTAAATACTTTGCTTAAACCTGTGTTGTCTCCTGTTTGAGGGGCCCAAGTCTGTGTATGGCAAGATTTATCATGGAAGGTAAAGGTGTTGCTGGTCTCTATAAATTGATAACATATTATTTCTTTCTCATATCTAGCTACGTGGTGAACATAGGTCTGATTGACAAATTGTGTGCCTGTTTCCTCTCGGTGCAAGGCCCAGTGGATGAGAATCCCAAGATGGCCACATTTCTACAGCATGCTGCAGGACTCTTACATGGAATGTGCACACTGTGCTTTGCTGTCACTGGAAGGTAAGGTCTCTGCTTGATCTCAATCTAGACTCAACTTTTGGAACAGCTCTTGAATTTTGCCTGTCTTAGGGTCATTTTATAGGGATGCAAGTGGTCATCTGGCCCCCTTTCCTGTGTTCTTTCTCTGTCATTGGCTTTCCATATTGAGCTTTATGTTACATTTCTCATTTTTCTGGGCCACATACTTCGGCCAGAGTCTGTTTTTCTTGTTGGTGTTATAAACTTGACTGTCAGTGCTGGAAGAGACTTAAGAGGTCATCCAGTCCCTCTTCCACTGAGATTCAAAGGAATCAGATTATTCTCCTTAAGTCAGTGAGTCAGTGAAAAGCCTAGACCAGAACAAACCAGGTCCTCAGCACTGCACAGCACAGCACAGCCTCAAAGTGCTCATACCCATCAGTCATCTGCTTTCAAGTAATAGTCTTCTCCATGTATTTAGTTTTCCTCTGTTGCTTATTCCAAAGAACCTTCATGAATTAGGGAAGGGGGCCATCCAAAAACAATAGCTCCCTAAGGTCTCACATGACCCATAGGCATGGTTAAAACCCGTGTGCCAGGGACTGCTACTGGCCTGGTAGACCACCCTACCCCACCCATCCTACCCTGTGGACTGTCCTCAAAAACAGTAATTCTCTAGGAAGGACAGATGGATTTCCCTGGGTTTTCTTCCCCCCCTACTCCCCAGGTAAGAAAGAATTATTTATTATAGTCACTTAGTGTTCCTAGTAGGAATATGACATATCCCATAGGCATATTGAGGATATTCAGTAAAAGAATTTTCTTACAATTAAATTCTAAACAGTATTTATGTGTTTTATGGTATTATATATTTTTAATGATTTGTCAAATGGAAACTTCTAAAGTCTAGCTTCTAAAAACAAGGGTTAACCATCTGTATTCAATGTACACAGAATACCAGTGACTATATAGAGAACATTTAAAAGAGGAAATTTTTTTTTCTTAAAATGAACATTCTCAGCTTTTTTTTTTTTTTTAGTTAGTTATACATAGGACCCCTAAACCCACCTATTTTTCTTTACTCTTACCCAGTTCCTCATACCAGTCACATTTCTAAAAAGATTAAGACTGTCTGGGATGTCAGGGGAACCAAGCATGGCCTGTATTCAGTGTTCCAAGTTAGTCGGTTCCCATCTAGAAATGTAGACAAAGCCTACCATCCAGGGATTAGATGAGAACTCAGGAAGTGACATATGTGGGTCTGTAACCTAAGTAGAATCGGGTAGCACCATTCTGCACAGAGGCTGGCAGCAGTAACAGGGCTCTGCCTGGGACAGTGGCACCTGCCAGCTTGCAGGCCACCATGCTGCTTTGCTAATTCCCATGGAATAGCCAGGACCATCCTTAGAAGTGTCCTCTTAGGCAGGAGACCCCTTTCAGCCCCTGGCTCTTTTTGTGTACACAGCATTACAAACCTGCCAGTATCTCAAGTCTGTGCCATCTGTTTTTGTTGTTTTGTTTTTTTAATCCAGATGCATATCACAAACCTAAGCATTTCTATATATGGTGTAATACAGTTGTGGGCTTCAGCTTTCACTTACACGCAGATGCAATCACTTGAAGTCTGGAACTTGAAAAAAAAAAAAAACCTAAAGAAGCTGGCACTAATATTTATAGGGACAACAACTTTTTTTTTACAAAGTTTTATCTGTAACTGGCCTGGCTGGATAATCAAATTAATTTCTAATTAAAGACAAATTTTCTTGGAAAAAAAAGCAACTGAGCCAAACTGACTTGACTTATGACCCAAGATTTCTAGCTTAGTGTTCCTTCCTACACACTTGACTTTGTATTATTCTAAATGTAGGAGCATATATTTTATTTCTTTGACATGGAAAACAGGATCCTCTTCTCTTTCATGCACACAGTCATGCTCTTGTCCTGAAGGCACTAAACATCTGTCCTGTGCTAGATACTATGCTAGGTATTAAAGACATTGCCCTCAGGGAGCCCAGAGTCTAGTGTGGGGTCAGACTTGTAAAGTAAAGCTACAGCATAATAGCTGCAGAAGACAATGTGCACAGAAGAGGAAGCAAAGCATTCCCAGAGGAGGTCAAAGAGGCTTCACTAGGCAGAATCTTAAAGAATCCAAGACAAGTGAATGGAAAAATGGAGAAAAAGGGCCTCATATGTGCATTGTGTGATGTAGTAGACGTTATCGGTGCCTTTGGTTCACCTAGAGGTTGTCTGCTGAAGGTTCCTATATTTTTCCGCCTAAGGATGCTCTCTGTACAAGGAACTAGTTGCCAGAGTTCAGGGAAGTGGCCCCCAAACAATAAATTGGTGGATAATACCCCTGATTCCCTAACGCTCAGTGAGACAATTCTGTATGTTCTGTACAGAATTGTACAGATATATTCTCTACAGTTTCTCAGAGGGTCCCCAGCTAACCTGTTTGTTAACACATCCTTGAACTGCTTTTCTCCCTTCCCTATTTCCTTCTCTACTTCTTCACAGATAATCTGTTGCACCCATATTGTTGTTTCAGCATCTGCTTTTGGGACAACCCAAACCAAGGGATATAGCCGTACAAGGCTTTGTGTCATTTCAGTTTGATGTAGCTGTACAATTGACTAACTGGAAAGTGGCAGGAGATAAGGTATCTAATAAGCCCTGTAAATATTAGTTATTGGGAGACTCAAAGGTATACAAGAGCTAGACTAGAGTTGTGGAAGGCACTGCTTGTATTCCCTTATTTGGAGACTATACCATCTACCACTCAAAATTTTATATTTATTATATATTTTATACCTATAATAGATTTTACATAAAATTTTAAAAAGTGATTTTATATTTATTTATATATTATATATGAAATATAACTGTTTTAATGTACATACACAACTGGATTTTTTTTTTTTGAGTTGTCGTCTCACTCCATTGCCCAGGCTGGAGTGCAGTGACATACTCACGGGCTCAGGTGATCCTTCCACCTCAGCCTTCCCAGTAGCCGAACTACAGGTACGCGCTACCACACCCGGCTAATTTTTTTGATTTATTGTAGAGAGGAGGTCTTGCCAAGTTGCTTAGGCTGTTTTCAAACTTGTGGGTTCAGGCAGTCCTCTCACCTCGGCCTCCCAAATTGCTGGGATTATAGGCTTGAGCCACCACGCCCAGCCGACAACTGGATTTTAAATAAATCAATTATTTACTCTTGATAGGTTTTAAGAATTCTTAATCTATTTTCCCCAGTATATTTTTGTTCTCTAATCTCAATTGCTCAGGAAACTTGTGTTAGTAGGACTTGTTACAAAAACAGATTATTCTAGAAAAAAGATTTAGATGGTTTCCTGGCTTAATTTACCTAGGAAATTCTTAGCAGTATCTATCAGTGTAAGCTGCTTCACTAAAAGAGGTGAGAAAATGACCCCTAATTGTTTTTCCTTTCATCCTTCAATCTCCCAACATTTCCTGAACACCACCAGACCACAGGAATAGAGTTTTTCTCTGCTTACCTCTGACATTTATAGATCATTTATTACTGCTCCCCATTTCTTCATGAAAATTATATTTCTAATCTATAAACTACAGTGGCTTCCAAGCATTTTGTTTCATGTGTTGAAAAGAGTTTCTGCTCTAGGTCACAGCCATGTCTAAGAAGAAAGGTAGTGTGGTTTTTGCTTTTTTAGAGTAATTCGCATAATGTCTCTTTTGGCTCCCAGAAGCCAGCCAGAGCCAGAGAGTCAAGGAAGATTTGTCCTTGTAGCCCCTTTGTGACTAGCAGGAATAAAAGAGAAATAGGAGCCAGAGAGGCCTTCAAAAATTACCTTTTGCGCTTGTAGACTCTGAGATAATTAAGCGGGCTAATTGATAGCACAAGACTTGGCGTAAATACTCTGCAGTCTGCCGGTGGCCTGGCCTTTGTGATGGTGATTACCGCTGGTCTGCCTTTGCACTGCTCTCCTATTGTGCCCTTAATCTTCTAATTTTTACCTAGGTCTTCTGAAAGACAATTTGGGTGTCAGAATTTGTGCTGTTAATCTTTGCTTCAACCTGTGGGAGAAAAGCACTAGCTGATGACTTTTGTACCAGGCTTGGTTTTGAACAATGAACTTGCATTTATTTAAGTAAAAATTGAAATTGTGATCCTCTGGGGAAAGGATTGATTTTTGTTAGGATTACTCCAGAATTTTAATGTGGGAATTGTTAACAAACGATAATTCTTAATCACTTAAGCAAAATTCAACAGTCTGTGACAGGACTTTCAGGAATGCTTGTTTCTTTGGCCTTAGCTATTATCAATTTTCCATTCTCGATTCTACAAGAAATTTTTAAAAAGATGGTTTTGGTTAAGGCTCATCGGGTCCCTTTGAGGTGCTGACTCTTCAGTAGAATTGACAGCATCAGAATCAGTAATGAATGACTAGAAATTGCCACCAATACAGGTCGTTAACTTAATCAGCAATCCTTTACTGTGTTCCTAACTGCTAGAAATTATGGAGGCAGTGGACCCATAGTAAAAGAGTTTATAATCCTTATGACTACACTGAAGAAAGAGAGGAACTTGTAAAACCTGGCTAATTCTGATTGGTTGGAGAAGACTATTGTGGATTCTAGAATATTTTTACACAAAAAGATGTTTGTTATATGTAATTGTGCTTTTTGTTTTCACAACCATAAACCATCTAAGAAAATGTGTTCTAGCCAAAGTCCTAGAAACTGTGTCATGAAGAGATAAGAATGAGTTGTGGTTTAGTCCATTAATTATGTGGATATAAATGAGTGCTTCTCAAGTGTTTAAGGATGCTTGAAAACCATTTGTTCAAGCAAAGGTAAACTTTTAACTCTGCCTGCCTGCCTATTCATTCATTCATTGAACAAATATTTATGTAGCGCTTGCTCTGTGCCAGGCCCTGTGCTAGGCTTGGGAAAAAGCAGAAATGACTCAGACATTGATTTTGTCCTCAAGGACCTTGAACGCTAGCTAGTAGGGGGAAGAAGATGTATATGCAAATACTCATAGTACAAGGCAGAAAGTGATA